GAGTGAATATCAGCATTGCTTTCATTTCTTTGTCTCTTCTTCAAAAGAGAAATAAAATATACAGTTTACTGAAGACATGTTGAAACTAACATGCTTTTAAGTAGCTCTTTGAAATTGTAATAAAATTATTTTATGAAATAATTCTTTGGGTGCTTAGTCAACACTTGTGAATCTGCAAGACTTATTGTCCAGTCATGTATACGTAGATAATATCCTGCTTAATTCAGTGGGATTTATTTATCAATAGCTGTAAAACATAGTTATTGAAAAAAAAAGACCTAAGAGTGGGACAGAGCCAATATGGATAGATTGCAATAAGGCCAACAGGCTTTAATGATTTTTGGCTAGTGGGAATTCCTACTGATACTATTTAGGCAACATATCCATCTTCTTCCCCTGTGGTGTGATGCCAGCAGTGGTGCAATTACCTGCACCATTCTCATTTACTGCACAAGGGAAATAAGACTCAGAAAAATTTTATCAAAAATAATAAAGTTCTAATGGAGATGGATCCCAATAACCCCAAGGTAAGAGCTGCTCCTGAAAGCACTGTTGTTCATTACTAATATTTTTTTGGACACAAATGATGAAGGAGAAACTCTTTCTGACAGAACAGGACAAATCTCTTTCCTCCTTCCACATTTATCAGCAGAGCTACTGAAATGTAAACCCCCAAAGTGGAATTTAGGAGACGTATTTTGTTCCTAGGCCTACTACAAATTTCCTGCATGGCTGCAGCAAGACATTTTATCTCACTTCTCTGTCTTTCTGATCAATAAAACAAAGTTAATATTTCCCAATGTCAAGGACTACCGGGAGAATGGATCATTAATTTATGTGAGCTGTTTTACTTTGCTACGGCTGCTAATGAGTAGCCTTCCCCTTTAAGTTATCATTAAGCTCTGCTCAGGCACTTGGAAGTAACACTGATGAGACTACATCAAACCTAAGAAATTATGCTGTACTTTATGCACAGGACAAGCAGGAAAGATATGGGCAATGTTTCCCAGGTTTATCTCTGATAAGTTGCCAGTTACAGTACATAGTGTTGGCTTCCTCCTTCTGTCAAAACAGTCAAGGAAATTTATTGCAAATGAGATTCGTATTTTAAAGTTCAGCTTTATATGAATGTTACCCCATGAGGAACACTAGCTGGGATTTCTGATTCTTTATTTTTGATGTTTTCAGACTCTGTCCTCTTAATGGTAGAAGCAAGTCCCTGTGGCAAGGTTAGAAACTTTAAAAGCTTTGATTTTGATAGTAAAGGATGTTCCAAAACACTTTTATGATGTATATAATAAAAAAGCAACTAAAATCTCAGGAAAATCCCCCAGAGACTGATTTCTTGGTGTAGTTCATCTAAGATGTACTTTGTGAACTTTGTAGATTCACAACACTTTGAGATAATGGTCTAAATTCATCCTTATAGTGAACAGTCTTTTCTATATCAACAATTTTCATTTGTCCCGGATAAGAGTTTACAAGCCACTGAGGGTTCCAGCTTACAGCTACCATTTAGCAGTGATATCTGTTTGGATCCTTGCTTGAAATGCAGGCTTAGAAACCTGAGTATGAAACCTATTCCTGCCTACAGAAATGTTCTGAACAGTGGCAAAATGCATGCTGGAGGCAGTGAAAAGTGTTCTGTGATGTAACATTATAAATAAACATAAATAACAAATCCCGTACTAAATCCAAGACACAGCGCTATTCTAGCTACTAAAAAATCCCAACTAACTGTCCCAGCCAAAACCAGGCCACTGTCATGATCAGCTGCAAAAACATCAACTCCTAGACTTTTCTGCTTATATGTAGAGACAAAGGAGAGTTTAACCAAAAGCTAAACACTTCTATCCATTGCTCAAAATTTTTTAGTTTCTGAGGATGAAGAACATGGTACAGCAGAGATCTGCACCTTTCTTGTCTCTAGCTAGACGGAACATTTCCTAAGAAAGTTGAAATGTTTTCTCTCTAAGAGAGAGATTCATACCTTTTGAGGTCTATTCTCATAACATGACAATGCAGAATTGATAATGATGTTTATTTTTCTAGCTGGTTAATATGCTACCTCTACCTTTCTCAGGACTTGCAAGGAATGTTTCCTTGATTTTAGGTACTCAAAATAGCACAGCGAATAGTAACTATCATAGTGTTTTCTCCTCCTCTCTTTACCCAAATGAAGTTTGATTATTCAGTGCTCTTTTTCACAGTTTGAAGAGCTTGCTTTGTAATTTTTAAGACATATCAATCTACAATAGTTATTCTGTAAACGGAACTAACCACATTAAAAAAAATAATCTAATACAATTCCTTTTTTAAAATCAGAACTCATTGTAATGCATACTTCAAGGGAGATTCGTCTGAGTCTTATGAGCAATATCACTGTGTAACATAAGCATACTAAGGTGGTCTGTGCTTGGTATTTCTGCACATAGAGTGCTATGGCACTGGATATAGTGTAAGGACTAAATGTTCCTATCTGTGACAGAGACTTTCACTGTTCACAACTGTTCCTTGACTCTATGAAACTCTTCGAAGTTCTAAACACGAAAAAAAAATAGATTTGAGAGGAAGTGTCTTTCTTCCAGACAAACATGCAGTAATAATTAAAGTGTTCTGTGATGTAACATTATAAATAAATATAAATAACAAATTACAGGTACTGGACAACTAGAAAAAAAACATTTTGAAAGTTAGCATTGTCATTTTCTGTAGACTGGCAGCACAGTGTGGACTGTCTTTATGAAGCTGCTTAGCAACAGCAATGCTGAAGTGGAAAGACACAGAGCTACTTAAAATGCTGCACCTGAGAAACAATAAACACCATTTTAGATTATCAACTCTTCACTGTGTGAATAGTGATGTATGGGGGAATACTGAGTTTTGCTCATGTCCTACAACAGTACTGCGTGTAGGAAGATTCAGTTTTGTTCTAACAGTGCTATTTATGCCTGTTGCTGCCTCTCTGCAGTGTGGCCAGATTCTCAGGTTAGACTCTGCCCTGTGTAAGGGCTACCTATATCCACATCAGACCAGGAACAGCCCTTGGCCACATCAAAATTTGAAAAGTTGCAATGCCAGCCTCGTTTCCTCTGAAACAACTTATACTTTTTTATGGATTTGGCAAGCTGGCAGCATTGTATAGGTCAGGTAGGTATTTTCCCCACGTTTAACCATGCTTTCTCTCCATTACATTTCAAAGATGTAGTGACAGCTATTTTCTGTATGCTTTTTCCAATAGAAGAGATTTAATAGTTTTCAAAGTCATGGCCATTCCAGGAGCTGTTCACATCCTCTTCTTCTTCATGCAGCAACCATAATTTCAAAGGCAATTATGTGATCCCCTCAAGAATGTTCGCAGATTAAGATACTGTCTGACTGTGCCCACAAAATATCAGACCATTGCAATAAGTCATATTTCATACTTATATTTTTTTTACAAAAGAAACATCATGGATTTGACAATAACTTCCATGATCTCCAAATTTGCTTGTCCTCTCTCTGCTTTCCCTCCCTTCCCTCCTGAAATGTTGCTACCGGCTATAAAAATGGCAGATCCGTCCATCAGAGTCTCTGCTCATGTCTCCATACTGCTTACCTGGGAATACAAGAGCTGGCAAGGGCTGCCTGATCAGATTAGCAGGTTGTAATGGAGCAGTTATAATTTATTCCCAGAGACAGAAGAACTGGTGGCTGTTGACTTCAATTTTGTAAAGAAGACATTCCCAATAAATTAAAAGAGATTCACTGAAGTGTTACATGTGTCTTTAAGAATATAGAATATTCACATGAGATCACATCAAGGTCCATTTCACTTGATATCCTGTCTCCAACGCTGTCGATGAGATGCCGAGCAGGAACCTAAAAAGGACAGGCATATATGATACTTTCTCCTAGTGTCCCTAATATTTCCTTTTTAGGAGACCTTATAAACAGAATGTGGTTTTGCATATGTAGTAAACCTCAATGTATTTGCCTTCTGTATAAAGTCTAGTTTCCCTGGGAACACATTCAAAATTTAATCCCCTTCTCATTTTTGGCAGCAAGTTATACAGGTCTGCCACTTGCTGAGAAAGGTTTTCACCCTGTCTCTTGTTTGATAATGTCTTTTACTGAAAATGGTGGTGAACAACAGACAAACCCACCTTCTCCATATTGATCCTTAAGCAGAAATCGTCCTTAAGCAACATTACATATTGAAGTAGTTCCAACTTATTTCTTATGGGGAAACTATTCCATATGTTTTATTTTCTCTGACTTTTTAAAAAATCTGCTATAATCTTTTGAGATTATAAAATCAGGACTGTGTAGAGGATTTAGGAAAAGAGTGAACAGTGGAATGATACTGTAACAAAAGGATTATATTTCTCTTTGCTCTCTTGCCTGATAATTCCTGAAGTTTTTTTGCTTTACCTTTTTTGAGCATTGGTCTGATGTGTTGCTGGAGCTATCTGCAGTACTCTGACGTGTCACTCCTTAGTAGAGGTAGTGATTGGAGCCCATCACCCATAGGTGAAGATGGTGTTGTTCTGTGTAACTAAATTAACATTGCATTTCATCGCCAGTCACTCAGGATGCAAATAATTTGCTTAACTGTGGCTGTTTAGCTCAATTGTAGTTGTATAAGATATCTGACACACCTGTTTGGAGCTGGAAGCTTTGTTACAGGGATTATAGGAAAGTCCAATGTCCTGCCACAGCAGCTGGTGTCAAGAAGGCTGCCCAGTGCATAACAAGTGCTGGATACTGTCACTTTAAGCAACTCCATTTTCACAAAATACTTTTCCTATTCACAAATACTTTTCACAAAATACTTATTCCTAGCTCATATCACCCTGAATAACTTCATATCACTAGCAGAATTTCTTAACTCATTACTCATGTGCTTCCCTGGTGTTTTATGAGTAAGCATTAAAGAATACAGCCTTGCTTTTTTTTTTGGTTCATTGGTTGTTTTTTGTTTGGTT